ACTCTTTAAAAGCCAGAAATGTCTGCGGGACTTTTATCCTGGAAGTGAAACAGGCAGGAAGCATCTCGCAGGTCACGTGATGGCATCTACTGGCTACTGAATGCCCACGCCTGCTGGGAAAGGAACAACTGGACAGGCGGCTCAGCGGACGAAGAGGCCGCCAGGAGCCCAGCACGGCCACAGAGAGACGCAGTGAGCCTCTGAGTCAGAGACTCCACGGGGACCACATGTCGTCTGCAGATGTGCACTGTTTTCCTGCGAACAGCTGAGCACAGGGCTGGGGCTGGCCGGGTGCTCTGCTTCTATTCTTCGGTACCAGCACCGACCGGTCACTGAAGAGCTTTGATGTGAATGTTTGGCCACAGCTCGTGGTGTGGACATGCTCTGTGCTAGAGCACCTGCTGACATTTGCACTGCGGGTGCAGAGCACGCTGGCTCAACAGCAGGCGCTTGGCACGCGGCAAAGCAGCAGCACTGACTTGTACTGGTCCTTAAATTCTTCTGCGCTAGGTTTCGGGTGCAGTAAAGTGGTGCAAAGACTGTCTTCCTACTAAAACATCACTTTTTCCCCTCCTTAAAGATGATTTCTCTCCCACTGAGCGGTCCTGTTACCACCAATTAGCTTTGCTATTTACGGGCAATCCCGCTAAGCTTCAGAATATCACAGATACCAGCAAAATGCAGCAGACACAAAGCTTTTCCCACCGATTTCCGTTCCGCTTCCTCCATCCTGGACGCTCCACAGGATGATGCTACTCTCCGAGGCCACGGCAACCATTTTGTCTTTGTCTCCATGGGGACCTCCGACCACCTTCGCATTCAGAGCTACTCGTTCAACTGTCCAGTCCAAATACGGGCTTGTGAACACCTGCTGCCACCCGGAGGACTCTTTGATTCTGTCAAGTGAGAACGGGCACAGGTGACTCGCGGCAACTCAGCAGACAGTGCAGCGCACCCCCTGCCTTTATGTTAAATACAAAACGTTGCTGGTGTCTACCACCTAAAATCCAGGAAAGCAGTCCTGAAATGCTTATACTTACATACATACAAAATCTAAACCACTCACAAAGAGATTAGAGTTCTATATTTCTGCCAAGAATAATTTAGGAAAGCCCTCAAAAAAAAAAAAAAAAAAAAAAGGCATTACCAACTTAAGCTGAACCTTCCATTTTTCTCCACAAAAAAGTGCTTCTATCATTATTTATGGCCAACAAAAATCAGAATTTTAGGATCATTATTACCCCTTTCAGTTATTATTAGTAACTGAGACCACACACCCTCAACCTATTGCTTTCCTGACCTGAGAGGACAGTCCCCCCAGGCACCTGGGAGAAGGAGCGAGCGGTATGACATCACTCCAACACCTCGGCACCAGCAAACGCAGGAAACCCGAGGCTTGGAAACCCTTCTGAGGACTGGACTTGAAAGGTTTCATTCTAAGCGAAAAAGAGGCCTATTAATTCCCCGTACATAAAGGCTTACCAGGATTCAGATCTGTAGTTGACCAAATATATTTAATGCCTTCTTTAATATTTAATTTCTGATAACACACCTGTAAATTTTTAATAATTTCCCCACATCGTAAGTCTTTCAAACACGTACTCCATGTGGTTGTACGACAAGCCTTCCCACATCTAGACCCTGCGCAGTTGTGCTATCGTGGCAAAGGGCGACCTGACTGTAACTACAGAATACCTACCTATCTTCAAAATTACACTAAATAGATGAAACTAAACTATAAAGCTTCTCTTTGCCTCAGCTAAAAGGAATAAACAAAACATAAAGAAAAAAATAATGTTCCTTTATGTACAAACTAACACATTTGTCCAAAGGTCAACCTCAGGTACTTATATATGACAGTCCGAAGGACCCAAATGAAATCACTCCAGTTCCATCTTTGTTTTAAAATGTATGCTAGCCCGGCCGGTGTGGTACATTGGTTGAGCCATGACCCATGAACCAGGAGGTCACCTGTTTGATTCCTGGTCAGGACACATGCCCGGGTTGGGGGCTCGATCCCCAGTAGGGGGTGTGCAGGAGGCAGCTGATCAATGATGCACTCATTATTGATGTTCTGTCTCTCTACCCCTCTCCCTTCCTCTTTCTAAAATCAACAAAAACATTTTTTAAATGTATGCTAAAATAACACAACTATAACTTAGACAAAAAAATGATCCTTATTAATTTCAGGAATTAAGATTGCCTTAATTAACTTCAAAGCAAGAGAGAAATATATCAAATTTTCCCAAGCATTGAATGATCTGTAATTACCCTATTCAGCCACCAGATGGGATTCATGTGTTAAGATAAACAAATGGAAGCAATTATCTAACAAACTCTGAAAACTGACACACATTGAGAAATCAAATGTTGATGTTCTGAGGGACTAACTGTTCAGTGAGGAGAGGCAGAAGTGAAGCAATGACGTGAGTGATGGGATGTTGTGATCATCAGGAACAGAAATAATAACACTACAGGGTGTCCCCAAAAATGTATACACACTTTGAATACCATTATTAATTCCAATGGGTTAAATCTGAAAAGAAAGAAACATCAACTGAGCTATCAGCTGTTAAAGTGTGTATACATTTTTGGGGGACACCCTGTATATGCAATCTAGTCTTTGGGGTTCATATCTCCAAGTCCTTTTTCCTCTACAGAAATTAGGGTATTACAAAATAAGGAGAAGGCAAAAAAAAAAAGTAGAAGTATCAAGATAGCATATTTGAAAACGATTATAACAACCACAGAACTTAATCCAATGTGTAAATTTACTTTAATTTGTAAGTTAAAAAATTAAGTACAAAGAAGAAAGACATATTTGCTCTATCCCTTTCCACAGAGGTAATGCAGAATTTAAAATATAAAATACTACGGAGTGAGTGCTGCTATCCTGGTGCCCACCTGCCTCCTGCTCCGGTGAGCCAATACCTGGCACCAGGATTCTATGCAAGGAGTGTGGCTACCTTCCACGGAAGGTCTCACAGAAACACATGAGGGAACCAGGCCCACGAGTTTTGAAGCTTATTGTAACACACTGACCTACATTGTATGGGAAGAGACAACATGTAAGAAGATCATAAGAGTCTAAAATTAGATTGTGTGTGTGTGTAGCAAAATAAAAGCGTTCATGTTTAAGAGTGAAAGGATGATTTCTGTAACAATTAAAACATAAGTACCTACCCACTGGGAGGAAAATAGATTCCTAAATCTCACACCACATACAAGAAGTAAATCCCACAAAGACTAAAACTCTCAAGTCTCAAGTGCGATGTGAAGTTCCAAGGGGGCGAGTTAAAGAACTCCTCTGCATTAGTGCAAGGAACTGCTCTAAACCCAGCGAGAAAGAAGCAGGAGTGAAGCCTAGCAACTTAGGAAACGAGTGAGCCAGGTGGAGACTATCCAGGGTACACTGTGCACTTCCATTTCTTTTAAGGTTTGAATTAATCTATACCAATAAAAGCCTAGGTGGTCCTCGCGCCCTTGCACGCAAAGTCACCACAAGATGGCCTTGCGCGGAGACAGGTCCCAGTGGAGGAGGGTTTCAGCGAGGGAGGGCAGTTGTGGGTGATCGGGCTGGCAGAGGAGCAGTTAGGCGTAAATCAGGCTGGCAGGGGAGTGGTTAGGGGGCAATCAGGCAGGCTCCCAGATTGGAGAGGATGCAGGCCGGGCTGAGGGACACCTCACCCGTGCACGAATTTCAGGCACTGGGCCTCTAGTTGGTATATGAAGCAGTGGGAAAACAACTTGCAGGAAAAATTACCCTCTTAAAATAATTTGAGTTTCTTCTTTTGGAAAACTTATTGCCACTGTGCTGAGTAAGTTAAGAACTCCATGGGGCCCTCGGTTCTTTCCCTCTGTCGCTCTCTGCCTGAGCTCTGACATCACTGACACTCGTGAAGGCACAGAAAGGTTACGGTCAAAATTAAAGAGCAGGAAATGCCGCTGCACCCTCCTCCCAGCTGTCACTCAGGGACTGACTGCGCAACAGCACATGTCCGTCTGGCAGGCGTCTGTAGCGCTGTTGTGCAATGCAGATGGCACTCGGCACGCCCGTTCACAGCTCTCCTGGAACCCTCATCAACACAGAGATGCACATGCCACTCCACAAATGAAATGGTCTGCGCAAGTCAGATCTGTGTGCCAACACGTTCAAATAACACTCCCCCAAATTCAATTCTTTTCTTTTTAATCATTCTTGCTTCCCATAAAAGTCATCCCTCCCAAAGGAAATCTACAAAATCACTTCCATATTATTCAATTAAAATGAAAAATATACACAATGCTCTCAAAATGGAGTTTCCACTGAACCTCTACTGCAATGAAATAAAAGGTGGAGGTTACTGATATAAAAGGCTTTTTTTTTTTAACCACATATGGCAAACCTACCATAAACTGAGATTTAAAAAAAAATACATCAAGGATTCTTTAAAATATATCTGTAATCTGTAGAAGACATTCTAAATATTTTTAATCTATTGTGGCTATTTCCTCTCAAACATAATAGTGACAAAATACATTTTCTTTGAGTTTTCAGCAATTAGATTAAATGGTATCATAGTCTAAGCCAGCGGTTGCCAACCTTTCGGACCTCACGGACCCCCGGTTGGCGACCGCTGGTCTAAGCTACTATTTCCCAACCATTTTGTGCTTCTATACCATTCTCTGTCATCATCATTTCTCATTGCAATCGTGATTTTGAACTAAAAACCCATCTTTCTCCAATTAAAAATAAAATCCACTGGTCTACATTCTTCCTCACTCCTTTCACTTTCTGAGAAAGAATTAGTAAAAGCCAAACTCCCTCTGAAAGTCTCACTCACCGCACCCATTAAAAGACATCGCTTCTGCCCACGCCTGTCCTGTGTCACCACCTCCCTCCCAACCGCGTGTTTGTCATGACTAATGTGGAGCCTTACCCCTCGTTACTCGAAGCACAAGAGACTGAAACACTGCAAGACAGGAAAGCAAGAGGCTCGGGTCATAATCCCTCCGAGTCGGTTACCAAAATAGTTAAGTGGCTCAGAAGCTAGATATCTAATAAGCAAAGAGTAACTTCATACTGTCTGGGAAAGATCTAAGACATATAAGGCCACCAGCAGTACTGACCAACTTAGCTATGAAAATAAAAGCAAACTAAATCTAACAGAGATACAGAAGTGAGAATAGAGAAAATTTGATGGCTGGAAGAAACAGCTCTTCAATCTACGCATATAAAATCACAATCACTGAAACTACCCCCCAAATTAAAAGCAACATCAGCCATGAGGACCTGCATGGTACCTGTAGCAGACAGCGAAGTGGGCGTAGGCAGCCACGATCCAGTTGTGGTGGCCAGCCACGATCAGCACCTTGCGTGGGTCCACAGGAAATCCTGCCGATTTAGAAAAGGAAATATTTTATCTACAGCACAGGCCTCCCCCAGCCCCAGTCCTCTGCCTGTCCTGACAGTTTTGCTGGAGCACAGCCGTGCACGCGTGTTTACACATCGTCTGTGGCTGCTCCACGCCGCCACGGCAGAGCTGCGGCTCCAACAGAGCCCGGTAGCCCACGAAGCCCGAGATATTTACTATCTGGCCCTTCACATAAAAAGTCTGTCAACCTCTGCACTTCAGACTTAGAGCAAACAGGACTTACATACTTTTTATACAAAAATTACATGCTAAATTACAGTTTAAGATATAAATGATAAATCTGAATTAAAAAGCGAGGTGAGGCTAAAAGTACATCTTTATAAATCCTCAATATCAGCTAGAGCTAAGCATATGCATTGTCTCTATGTGCGTCATCACCCTTACCTAGCCTGGCAGGCTCCTCGCCAGAGGCGGAGAGGGCGGGCTGGGCACCACCTCCCCGAGCCTCACCTTCCACAGAGTTCAGTCCACTCCTAGAATCGGCCGAGGACCTAGTTGTGTTGTTTATTTTACGACTAGGAATACCTACAAAAGGAAGTAAGATCATTTATTTCTAAGTTCACCTGAAACAATTTAAAATTTCGCATACCAGACATGAAAACATGCAGTTCACTATAGTCAACATATATCTTCCAATACAGCAATGTATTACAATCCAATCACCATAAAAAAAAATGAAAAAATAAATAAAACTTTCAGCAGATGATGTACAGAAATGAGATTAAGCTTTATCATATTACACTCGCAATCTAATCTCCATAAAAATAATAAATAAAACTTTCAGCAGATGGTGTACAGAAATGAGATTAAGCTTTATCATATTACACTCCACTTCTACCAGCTCTAGGGCAGTGAAATCCATCACTAGTTCAGTCCACGCCAGTGTCTCCACTGCAGTGACTAGGTCTTAGGTCCCATGCACTATTCAAGCTGCTCGAGAGCTGAACCGCCCCAGACGTTCGTCGTCTCCATTCGGCAGGAGAGCCCGACTGGATGAACCCTGCTCTGGCCACGGGAAGGCAGAACTCTTCTACCTGAAGTGGGTGGAGGTGCCGTGCAGCACACCTGCCCGTCTTGCACCAGACACACCTGTGCAGACCTCCTGGGCTCTAACAGGAGACCGACTGCCAGTGATGTAGCATCCGGTGGGCAGAGGAGGGCCCAGGCCCCGGTGGCTGTTTATGTAAGTGAAGTTGTACAGAGCGGTCACGTCCCCTCCTTCTCTGCAGTGTGCACAGAGAGCTGAGTGGTGGCCACAGAGATCTTCTAGCTCACAAGCCTGCTGGCCGGTACCAACACACTCTGGCATGTACCTGCCAACGTGTGCTGACTTAACTTCTATCACAAAGTTCTCACCATTCCTAGTAGGTTCATAGGTCAGAAAGAATCAAAGAATAGGTCTTCTTTCTCCCCATTCACATCTGAGTGTAAATATACCTGCTTCATGAGAACAAGCACTTAGAAGGACTGAGCACAGTGCCAGTACCTGGTGGGGGCAGGTAGCCGTGGAAGAGGACGCTGCCGCAGGACGAGCGCTCCAGCTCTTCGCACAGCAGGAGCCTTCTCACTGAAAACGCCAGACACACCTGTCAGATGGGCGCACCAGAGAAGCAGCTCTCCGCTGCCACGCTCTCCAGTGAGAGCACACAGGGGAACAGGAGCAGGTGTAAGTTAAACCAGCTGCTAACATCTTCTTGCCATGAAAACCCACACTGACCTCGTCCATCCCAAACTAGGACCTGGCATAGGACACATTGTATTGGGGCAGTTTTGTGCACAAAGGGTCAAACCGTAAGTAGGAACATCAGAACACATACCTAACGGAGTGATTCCGTAAAACTCGGCTTCGTGCCTGAGAACGTTAATACTCACTCCCCTACAAAGAAACAAAGGACATGAGTCCTCCATCAGTGCAACTGGGATTAGCATCTGAAGCAAAAGGAAAAGTCGTAGGTGCTTAGTGTGAAACTTTAAAACTTCCTTTCTTCCAATATCCTTAACCATTTGAAAAAGTCTAAATAAAAAAAAACTGCACACCAACAAAAACATTCTCTTACTTTAAAACCATTCACATACAGATGAAATGGGCGACTAACTGAGAAATCAGGGCTTTACAGGGCTAGTACAAGTAAATCATCAAGTACTGCATCATTCTTATATGGCATTAATGGACTAACTTTTTATGACAATCATTTCTATGCATATTTAATAACCTCCCCGATTATACTGTCAGCTCCCTAGGCAGGATCTATTTTGAATCTATTTTTGTGTACCTTGCACAACGTCTAGCACAGCACTTGTACATAACTATTATGCAATAAATACCCATTGAATGAATAAAGTCAGATAAATGACCTCATCAGAAACAAACAAACAAAAAAAAAGCAAAATAGAAAGTAGGGGGGAAAAAGGCCAACCTGATGAAGATGTTACAGTACAGTAGTATGAAAATAAAAAAAGCCAGTAATTTACAGGAAGGCAGTTGGTAATACAGATATTTAAACCAATTCTGTCTCTTATGGGTTATCTGGTTGTGGAGTAGTCACAAGGACACTGACTAGCAGTAAGGTTAGGCTTCTTTAATCCATCAAATGCTATGGGTCAAAATAATTTTACTGTTATAAAGAAATAAGTACTTAGTAATATAATATTCTTCCCACTTCCATCCAACGCCAAACAGACCCAACAATCTCTTTTATTCATTCCATAAATATTTACTGAGCAGCTACTGTAGGCACCGTCTTAACACTGGGAACACAGCAGGAGCCAACCAGACAGAGAGCAGTCCTTGCCTTCAAGGAGCTCATATTCTAGTGAACGTAAGCAAAGTTAGATAATATTATAAAGAAGCAGCTCAAGGACACAGCTGGGATTTTAAAAGCTGTAACTATAAAATGTTAATACATTCTTACTGAACGTTCACTAAGAATTTAGGAAATAAGAGAACAGTACAATACAAATGAAATCGTAGCTTCCTGGTAAGAATCCAGACCCTGGCAAGGTTAAAATAGTTTCAATGATCCTTCATTTATCCACAATCTCCCTCTCTCCCACGTACTGAACCTCTGAACTTCTAACTACACATCTAATACAACTAGATCCTGGGATATATAGTGAGCAGTGCTTGCCTTTTTGGAATGTAAGTCTAATGGAAGACAGACTCCAGAGAAAGTGTAACAATTGCTATGACTACCTTTATTAGGTGGATACGGCAGAGACCAGGGAAGAAATCAGGATGAAAAGGTTGCAAGTGTTAAAGCAAGAAAATTAAGCAGGGGTCAGATTAGAGAGAGCCTTAAGAAACAGCATAAAATACCGAAATCCTTCGCCACGAACCCCGTAACATATAACAGACATTTTCAGGAGTGTGTTAACCAGATCAGATTTGTTTTTTTAGAAGACACTGTGGGAAATACATGGTAGGGACGCAAGAATGAAGTGGGGGGAACTGGCCAGGAGGCTGCTAGCGCCGGCTGGAGGCAGGGATGGTGGAGGCCTCCACCTGCGAGAGTTTAGTTCTGAGAAAACTTTCAAACGAAATAATGTAAGAACAAATGCAGCCTGCTGTTCAGTCGTTTGGTCATTCCTCACTAACCTCCCTGCCGGCCTGGCTGTAGGCAGCCATCTTGTGAGGGTGTGAGGGTAAATTTGCATATTACCTCTTTATTATATAGAATTCTTACTGAATACTCACTAAGAATTTAGGAAACAAAAGAACAATACAATACAAATGAAATTGTAGCTCCCTAGTAAGAATCCTGACCCTGGCAAGGTTAAAATCGTTTAAGTGATCCTTCATTTATCCACAGTCTCCCTCTCCCCCACATACTGAACCTCTAAACTTCTAACTACACATCTAATACAACTAGATCCTGGGATATATAGTGAGCAGTGCTTGCCTTTTTGGAATGTAAGTCTAATGGAAGACAGACTCCAGAGAAAGTGTAACAATTGCTATGACTACCTGTATTAGGTGGATATGGCAGAGATCAGGGAAGAAGTCAGGATGAAAAGGTTGCAAGTGTTAAAGCAAGAGAAATTAAGCAAGGGTCAGATTAGAGAGAGCCTTAAGAAACAGTGTAAAATACCGAAATCCTTAGCCATGAACCCAGTAACATAACAGACATTTTCAGGAGAGTGGTAACCAGATCAGATTTGTTTTTTTAGAAGACACTGTGGGAAATACATGGTAGGGACGCAAGAATGAAGTGGGGGGAACTGGCCAGGAGGCTGCTAGCGCCGGCTGGAGGCAGGGATGGTGGAGGCCTCCACCTGCGAGAGTTTAGTTCTGAGAAAACTTTCAAACGAAATAATGTAAGAACAAAACTTTACCTTCATAAAATATACCCCAAAAATCCATCAATAAGGTTGTAAAAGGATGCACTTCTTACCTTAAGTCTAATTCTTTTGTCCGAAGAAAATTTAAAATGGGTGCGAATGCTGCCGGATCTCTATCAATAAATATCTGCAAATAATGAACTGTTTTAATAAACATCTGAAATGATGCTCCAAGTGTAACTGCAACTTCCAACTTTGATGTGTGTAGTCTAACTTAAGGAACAAAGACTGAATTACCGAAGTACTGTACTTCCCTGGAATACATTTGAGGTGGCAGTGTCTGTCCTCCTCCACAAAAGCTATTGCTGATTGATGCATTTTAATATGTAGGAAAATGGTCTCTAATAAGTCAGTTCTCTCATTTACTTTGAGATTTTTGGTAAAATTAACACTGGAGGGAACATTTTTATCTGAAATATTCTAGAATCCAATGAATGCTTTGAAAATAGTATACATAAATAATACTTTCGTATATTATTAATTGCTGGTGACAGTGATGGTGACTTACATAACTTGCGACTTACATGGGCATCACCAAAATAATGTACTTGTATGAAATACATAAATGATAACTTTTCACAGGAATATGTACCAACACTCTTGAATCAATTACAAAAGCTCTAACCATAAAACTGAACATCTTTTAAAGCTTATGTAAGTTAATTAGGGGAATGGTAACAAAACTCTTTTTCCCATGGTCAATTATGCATATCAATGAATGAAGTTCTTCTACCTTCATACATTTTTGCTTTTCTTATTAGAACCAATCAGAAGTTGAAGAAATACAGCAGATTTGTGGAGATCTTATTACTGATGTCTTTCTTATAACCTCAAACAGGCAAGCCTGCTTTTTCTGCATTATTTCACCTGCAAATATCACCAAAGCAGACGGACACCTGTGCCACACTGCTGCCTCCAAACAGAAAGCCCTTCTGCTTCCAGGAGACATGTACTGTACATGCTGCTGTACAGTCTAACTGCTTTTTTAATGCATAAACTGACTCCTTTTGTACTGAAACATAATAGTTCTTTACTTCCCTCATTCCACTGTTGCTGTACAAATTCATAAGGTTATTTTCCAAAATAAAAAAATAGTAGAACTTTACTATTTACAATTTACACCATTCTAATTCAATATCAAAATATTTTAGTATTTACATTAATCTATTTACTGTTAAAGTTTTAAATACTGATTAAAATTACTCTATTGACAATGCAAACTCATATCCTACAATCTCTCTAATCATGAACATTGAATTGCTATATGTAGTATTTACTATTTAGAGTTCTATACATATAGAAACACTCTAAGCGTGACAAAAAATAATAAACTTTAGGTAGATATATCTCACTTTCATTTAATGGTTATTAAAATGTTAGCTTTCTAAGAGCCACTATATAATAAGGATCAAACATAAGCATTAATCTAATTTGGATACACTGCACATTATACTTACAGCACCAGTTTCATCTCGAAGTGTTGAAATTCTCCCGCTCAGCAAGCTAGAAGTCACAGCAATAAGCTAGTTAGTTTTTAAAATCTCAGTATGAATAAATGTCCTAATTCTTTATCAAATGTTAATGATCAATATAAATGAGCCATCTTATCTCCACAGCAAAATAAAAACAAAAAATTATTTGTCTTTTTTTTGCAGTTAAGAAGGAAACTTTATTCAAACAAAAAACAAAAAAAATTCTATTTTAAAAGTTAAGAATTTTTGAGAAAAAAATATTAACAGAATATTCTTACTATTTTGATAAATACTAAGTATATTAAGAACAGTAATGAAGAATTATATGAAATACCTGGAAAAAAAGGAATCTGGAATCCACATGAGAGTCTGTTTTGAGGTACTAAATCTGCAATTGAAAGTTATCTGATATTATAAATGAGCACACAATTTGAAATTCAATATTAGTTAACTTGCTCTAGTATGCTGACCAATGGTTTACACGTTGTTGCAAAGCTATAGCCAAAACAATTACATTCATCACTCTTAATATTTTAAAATTTCTTTCAATTCAGAGTTAAGATCATTCAAAGAGCTCTTCACAAAATCTAGTAACTCATTGACATAATGCTTCCCTAACCACGACTTCCCAGCATGCCCATCTGCTGAAGAATCAACAGTCTAACTTCAACATAGAACTCAAAATTACCTTCCACTCTCTCCAACACAAACGTGTTCCCTCTAATGGAGAGTACTTAATACCCCCAAAATTCATACCCACCACCATTTCGGTATTGTTTTTTTAAATTTATCCCAGCTCGACAGCCCTTGTCATGTCCAATAACCCAAGTCCCATCCATCTTTTTTTATTTTTTTTCTTCTAAAAACATTTTGTTTGGCTTTATTTAGCTCATGGTACATCCATCTTTCTTAATACCCTTAAGGTTTTACCTTCTCTTTAATGGATTTTCCAAATAGTCTATCCTATATTATCATTTTGAGCTCACAGTAACTCCATTGTACATTATTCTTTATTTGCAGTCTTAGGCTATTTGCAATTGTCCTATTCATTAACAAAATCGCTCAGTAAATATATCAGTTCTGAGGTTAACTGACATTTGACCAAGAGTGTTTATTGCCATCGATAGAGGGGACTTTACCCAAGCACAGGTAACAGCGTGGAAGATCAGGAACTGATGTAAAGTCTCATGGCCAAGAAGGAATCTAGGGCTCATCCAGCCCCGCCCCTATTACCTGAGTATTTTCACTTTAAAACTCATCACAACGAACGACATATGCACTTTTTTACTCTCTGCCCACAGCATCCCGGGTCCTCACACAGAAGAGCCCAGGAGACCCCCACTGTCATTCTATGTCACTTCCCAGCTTTACAAAACTGTGAAAGCCGCTCCTGTGCCCATGCGTCAGATTTAAGAAAGGAATCAAACAGTTTATTCAAGAAAACATGGCAAATTTTCCCACATTTTCTTAGCTGACTCTTAGGAAACAATGAGAAGCAGACTGCAGCTAGTCACAGGAAACTGACTTGGTCAAATAAATAAAAGCAAACCCAGTCAACAGCAAACTGAAGGGTCCACGGGTCCTCAGCATGAACAAGTCACTGTTTTGGAGGCCATCAAATTAATTCCACATTAAGGGCCCGTGACCTTTCACATTCACTGCTGCTTACTCAACAAGATGCCTGCCAACTAACTCAAATTCTGTGCTACTCACAAAATTCCACGGGTCTGCTTAAAGTCATATTAACAATTTCACTTATAATCAGCAGTCTGGGGTGGGTTCAGTAAGCCGGAATTTCTGGACCAAGGGATGGGACCCTCACCCCCCCCAATGTTTTTTTCCAATCAAGAGTGAGGAAGGAGAAAAACCCACATAGCTCTAAAGCTGGTTCCAAATATGACTTCATGAGAACTACGACACTTAAATGTACACGACAAGCAAACTTCTCTGCAACATACATGAAAGTGCTTCCCAAGCAGGGGGCCGCGTGCAATCTGGTCCCAACAAAAGTATTACTAGAGACATTAGCATGTCCACATTCATACGAGTGCCACTTGCCTCCTACTAAATTAACTTGGACGCAATCTAAAAATGACTTCATCTGCAACCTTACTATTGGCAATGCCAGTAACCCTTGCATTTCCCGTTTATTACTTCAAATTCCCTTAGCGATCCTGTGGGGTGGGCACTATTACAGCCACTTTAGGTTTTAGGGATCCAAGCACTAAGATAATCTGCTCTCAGGGGTGCTGAGACCTGTGGACTCTTCAGTTTGCTGTTGACTGAGCCAGTTAAGAGGCAAGGCCTGGGAACTGGAACCCGTCTGCACTCCAAAGCTCTCTGTCCATCCGCCCCCCCCAGTGGCCATCCCAGGAGGCCTCCAGTCCTACTCATTCTAATGGAATTCATCACAAATTGAGTCATACTGGGTTTCTTTCAATTTAGTAGGTTTTTTCTTGATGTTTTTTTTAAATAATAACCATGCTAAATGAAATCTCATCTTCTTTCCGAATCACCCCCAAAGTTAATCATTTAAAAATCAGTCATTTCTATTATTTCATTGAGTATGTTTATTTTGGATCTCACGTCTCTTGGAATTAAAAGATAAATCAGCCCTGACCAGTTGGGCTCAGTGGATAGGGCATCAGCCAGCGGACCCAGGGGTCCCAGGTTCGATTCCCGTCAAGGGCATGTACCTTGGTTGTGGGCACATCCCCAGTCGGGGGTGTGCAGGAGGCAGCTGATGGATGTTTCTCTCCCATCGATGTTTCTAACTCTCTATCCCTCTCCCTTCCTCTCTAAAAAATCAATAAATTTTTTTTTTTTAAAGATAAATCAGGCCTTCCGGGTGGCACGTGCTCCGAGTTGTACTCCAGAGCCAATCTGTCCCAGGCCTCAGCCTCCGCTTGGGGACGAGCACAGCGGGGTTTTGTTTTACTGCGCATCCGCGCATGACTTCAGTGAGTGTGCTGAGCCTTGTTTGCACAAGACACAGGCGCCTTCCAGACCCCTCCTCGCTCTGAAGCGCTGCAAGAGCTGATTCCAAGTCACTCAGGACAGTCCGAGCCCGGCTGCCGGGGGTGCTGTTCCCGCAGCCGCCTTGCAGGTCCAACCTGCACATGTTACCGATTTCAGCAGAGCGTCCATTTCTCACTCTAGGGGGCAAATCTTTTCCTCGGGACTGGGATCCATACAGCGACAATACTGTTATGATTTCTTCACTACTGAACAGTGTTTTTGGAGGTGGGGGCGGGGGTAGAGCAGGGAACGAATGAAGAACTGTTTCTTGTGCTAAATTCTCTAGTGCACTGAGAAAAAACAATCAAGTGTTTAGCATTAAAACTCTGTACCTTTTGATCACTATGGTTTGCAGTTTCCATTTTGCATTTAAAAAAACATCATTTAAAGCCTTAGATATTGGAGCACAGCAAAATACACCGCCTTCCCGAACCTCCACCCCGGCGCCCTCAGCAGGGCTGACTCACAAGCCACGGTCAGTTCACTCCAAAAACTGGGATGTTTTTCCCCAACAAGCTCAGTAAGAGGCAGAGGGGAGAGGCCGCCAGAGAGAGGGCAGAGCTGTGCCTCTGTTTTCCACGAGGGCGCCCCGCACCCCACCCCACACAGGGCGCCCACAGGCACCGGCTCCCCAGGCCAGCTCTGCCGAGGGAGGTTTCTGGACACACTGCCCACCAGTCACACACACACACACACACACACACCCTCCTTCCCCGCCCCCTCCCCCGAGCCAAGCCCCGAGAGAAAGGACAGCCTCCTGCAGACCCGCCCGGCCTGCCCC